TGCCTCTGGCGACATCCGGATTTCAGGGCAGGTTCAGCGGATCAACCGTGGTGGTGACAGGCCTGTCGGCAACCATCAAAGCGGCTTCGTCGTAGGCACGCGCCAGCCAGCGGCGAGCATTCAGCTTCTTCTGGGCTCGGTGAATGATCTTGTGCTCCTTGCCCTGTCGCAAGTAGTTGGCCAGGCGGTTGCTCATCAACCTCTTGGACTTCTTCAGCCTGTTCAAGGTCTTGCGACCTGGAGCCCGAGGGCGGTCACGTAGCGGATAGACGTAGTCACCCAGCCGGCCGACCAATGCATCCAAGCGGTACACGTGGCGAATCTTCAGCTCCTCGCGGATCTTCATGTAGGCGTCCAGGTTCTTGCGTGCTAGCTTGTCGAGGTACTTGCGGCGGCGGGCCACCAGGCTCACCAGCTTCACACGACAGGCGAAGTCAGGCTTGAACTCCCTGGCATGTAGCACTATGTTGCGGATCCGCTCTGTCAGGATGGCAATCTGAACTTCAAGGCAGCCAATGTTCTTGCCATCGGGACCATCTCTCGTCCAAGTCTTTCGTGCATTCATCTTGGCCAAGTAGAGGATGTACTGCTTCGAGGGGTAGAGATCGTAACGGATCAGCCGCTCGAGTGACTCGTCCTGACTAGCCTCGAATTCCTCCATGTACTGCTCGAGATCTGTTTCCTCGATATCCTTGTCAAGGTACAAAGACATCTCGTCAGCTTGTGAACTCGGAGGACCCTGCTTTGGAATTTCGCCCTCTTCTTTCATCTGCTTTTCCTCCTCCTGATCTTCTTTCACTGCCCCAAGCATGCCACCCAGGATACTGTCTTCCTCCGCTTGCCTGATGACGTAGCTCTTTTGCGCTGGTCGCACTGCACGGCGCGCGAGAGCTGCGGAAGCCAAGGCGCACACGAGGATGCCGCATGTTGTGGCCGCTGGCAGCCCAGAGCCACTCGCCACGCGCTGGACCGTATGCGCTTTCAAAGCTTGTGTTGTAGCGAGGGACTCCCACCTCGCGGAGTGGATGCCACCGACGCTGAAGCTGAGGCTCGCTGGCAACACCAGGAGGGCGCAGGCCCCGAGGACCACAGCTGGGGCTGTTGCACGGGAAGGCCGCATTTTGCAGTTCTGCAAGACGACGCCTAAGTATCAGTCGGGCCTAGCTCGAAAGCTGGCCCTTCGTTTGAACCGAGTTGAAGATTTTCACATTGTTGCTCATGACGCTGCTATGATCTGGTGCCTTGGCCACCTCTTGTGACGCAAATCCTCCCATGTCACAAACTTCAGCCAGCAAGTTTGTTTGGTGCACCTCTGCTGCATGCACAATATGCACAGCATTTAAAATTCCTGGCTGCTTCGCAGTCCATGGTCGTCGTTCTGTTTAACTGGGGCCGCCTGTTAGCCGGCAGGACCGTGCATGAGCTCGCCGCAAGCCTCGATAAATTCACCCGTCTCATGAGCACTTGCCTTGCCTCGTCTTGCCTCGTTGTGCTGACACGGATGTGCCAGTCAAGCACGTGTTGATGCAGGACATGCCGGGTCTCGCGTACGAGATGCCGGCCCCATGGTTTCAAGCCTCTATAACCGGGAAATCGAAGACTCTGCTTGCTAGGGAGCAACATGGGGCAGGGCCCTTACAGGGCCGTGGTCTTTGTGGCATCTGCATACTGGCACGAGCTACTTCAGAATCCGAAAAGAGCCTCTCGGCACCAGCTTCGCTGCATTCGCAGTTCAAGCCGGATGTCATGCTGCAGCACTCTTTGCTTGGGCAGCCTGGAGTGGAACGGCTTCAGCATCTAAATACAATGCAAGTGTATGACATATGACATGTGCCTTACACGCTGCGACAACATGTCACTATCATTATAACCTGCTATAATTCGGCAGTTTGCAAAAGTGCTTCCTTTTGGTCCGAGCATCGACCTGTACGTCAACACTCACCGCAAAAATACAGTGGGCAAACTCCAAAGGCGCAAGCGCCAAAGCTGTGGAAATGCCAAGGCAAACTACTCACCAACATCAGACCCACAAGTTCATGACAAATCCTAAACACAGAAAGCCCTATAAGGCCCTGAACCTGAAACTGCATCTTCGTTGGAAGATTGCAATGATTTGGACATTGACATGAGCACTGCAGATCCCATGCCATGACTTCATGACCTGTCGTGTCCGGCATCTGAGTGCCTCTTGGAGGTCCTCGGAAGCCAAGAGTGAGTTGCCGTTCTCCACAACCCTATAACCACTGGGAACATCACCAATTACACCATAGTGTAGGTCTGGGACAACATACGAAACTTCTCAAGCATGTCTCTTAGCAGAAGGTGCTAGCTTACTGCATGTCACATGTCTTTGCTTATCTAGTCTGTTTTGGTGACAAGCCCAGGGAACCGCTACGTTGCCCAGATATGCCTCGCCTGAAGTAAGAAACAACTCTAACAGTGGCATCCCCTTGCGATTGCACATCTCTTGCCAGCTTCTTCCGGAGCATGCTAAATGGCTGTCTTCTGCCGGTCGTGTGATTTCGAAGGCCCCCGGCGATGTAATGCCGTGCAGAGCAGCGCATTTCGCAAGCAAAGCCACATTCCGACAAAACACTTCCGTGGTGCCAAAAAACACCACAAATGGCACGCACGCATGCAGAAGGCGCGGATAAAACTTTCAAGGTACGAGTACATCCTGGCTTTGGCAAAGATGCATCAAGGCCAACTAAATTTGCCCTGATGATGCGCGGGCTAAACAGGGTACTTCTGCAGCGTGACAGAATCCAAGCACTTCGAAAAACACTGCTGCTGTCGATCGTGCAACTCTGCGGCATGACTCATCCTCGCAACTTTGAACATCTTCCTTGGTACTATTTGTCCACATACTTCGCCGGACGAAGAACTGAAAAGACGAGCCTCGGCTGGCGAATGTCTGCCAGCTCGAATGCCGCTACATGCACTGATGCACAGCAAGATTCTGCAGCCCCTTGCAATCTGCATGCACAAATTCCTGCGAATTTCGAATTCCAGCCAGTCAGGAGCGCGCTGGCCACGCCTCTGCCGATGACAGCCACCTACCAAAAGGAGATTAGGAGCCGCCAGCTACTGGCTACTGAACAAGAGAAACTCGAGACTCTCCCGCCTGTGTCATCAAACCACAATCCCTGTTGGCACGAGTTGAGCACAGTCAGCTCGCGTGAGAGAAAGCGCGCAGCCTGTGCACGGAGGAGAAATGGCTGTCAGCTTGCAAGGTCACCAACCCCAGCACTAAACGCGATGCTCCTAACTTGGGAGCAAAAAGCTTGCATCCTTCGACCATGCAAGCCTGTGTGAAGCGCAAGCTCAGAAGCTTCTGATACCATGGTGGTGGTAGCACGAGAAATCCTGAGCAGTTAACCCTGACATCAGAATGCTCACCAACCGGCCAGGAACTTCTTCAGACCTCACACCTCTCGAATCTATTGGTTGGTCACCGTGTACTCAAATGATGGGTAGGTCGAGATCCTCGACTTCTCTATTAAGTGGTGGCCTGGCTAGGTGCGAGGCTCTTCCAAGAGAAGACTATAAAAGTGCATGCCATGGCTCACACTGTGGACGTGGCATATTGGCCTTGGACCAAGCGGTCGCACAAGTTTGCTCCTTTGGAGTGGCAATGAACTGGTGTCCCTTAAAGCAGCTTCATGCAGTCGAGGGGGCGGCTGTGATACGACGACTTTTGGAAGATTGTCTTCGTTGAACTCCACCTAGGTATTCAGCCCCAATGTCTGGAGCGTCACACTAGCGGCTGGCGACAATGGCTTCTTGCAGGGCACGCTCGTTGCTTAAACCGCTTGCAACCTACAGCCTTTCCACCTGCGAAAAAACTTGAGGCCAGGAGCCTCTTCTTCCGAGAATTGGTCCGAAGGGTGGTGCTCCTGCACAGGGCAGGTACAGGGAACTCAGAGAACGTAGTTCAGATGTTGATGAAAGCCCATCCCGGAGCTCCTCCGCATTGGGGAGTGCATCAGTACTTCTTACGGGGATGCATGGCCTCAGGAACAATTGTCCGACTGGACAGCCAGCCACTGCAGCTGGCCAGGAATGCAGTGAACAATGACACGAATGAACATCTTGAAGCTACTGCACGACCACAAGAACTCATAAGAAAGCAATGGCTTCTGCAAACTGCGAGGTTGCCCAGCTTCGGTAGTGCAGCAGCGCAGCAGGCATGAAAGGTAACGAACCGAACTGGAACCGCGAACCGGAACCGATTCAATGCCGGTTTGGGAACCGCGAACCTGCCGAACCGCACCGCCAACTCGGAGCAGAGGTGGCCCAAAACGGGTTTGCACAGATCGTTGATGGATCACGATTTTTCACTTCACGGGCCTCTTGGGTTCGCGGCCCCCATAAGGGGCTTATATAGAGTCCTTTTCTAAAGGGTTCATAATGATGTAAGGTTTACGCTTTCTGCAGTTTCGGGGCCCCAAACTACTTTTCCATGTAGCTCCAGGCCCCTCCCCAGAGCAGGACGCGTGGGAGTACCCTTTTCGCAAGCTCCAGGCCCCAGACTCCCGAATTGTGTACTCCCCCGCGTGGCTCCGCGGCCATTCCCCCGAGGCTCCAAAATGTGTTGTTCTCAACGCTTTTGGGACTAGGGGATTGGAACCGCCAGGAACCGCGAACTGAACCGCAGGAACCGTCGGAGAAACCGAATCGCATGAACCTGAACCGCCTTTTCAAAACCGCAACCGAACCGAACCGAACCGTTACATTCATGAGTAGGCGAGTGGTGTCACAGCTGCCGTTACCAGAAAAGACCCTAGGTCTAGGCCTATTGGGCCTGTGGACCGAGGCGAGGTTTGCCGCTTTGCCCTTCCCGAGATTGACCAATGACTGCTTGTCCGACATCTGATATACGCGGCGCTTGGCTTTGCAAATTTACCAAATCCAAACCAAGCTGCAGTTTGTGAGCTTGCTCGGCTGCCAACTGCTCCGCTACGTTGATGAGGTGGTTTACTCCCTGCCTGCTGCGCGATCAGATTCATGGCTGACACCTGCACCTACGCCCCGTACTGCAGCCAAGCATCGAAGCAGTGCAGGCCAAACCTCGAGCCGCGCAGCGACGTGCAGGACTCAAACTTGCAGGTGCCACCGAGCCTTGGCCTAGGCATGCAATTTGCGCCGAGCCGCGAGGGAAGCGCGTCACCCAGCCTGGCAGATTTCTACCAACCAGGTGCATGCACACCACCTCTGCAAAACCTCAGCTGTCTTTCGTCCTCTGCAGCTGCAACACATCAAAGTCCGGTGCTGTACTGAGCTGTCCCACATGAGGTTGCAACATGCAGCCGTGCAGCTACAGCAGTTGCGCTCAAGCATGTCGTAGTCGCATCCATGCCATTGGCTTCTCATTGCCAAATCCATGAAGCGAACGACCTGTGTCGGAAGGCAAGCAGCCAACAGGAATGCTGCCATGATTGGACGACTCAAAGGAATTCGAGAAAGCATGTCTTTCCATCTTGTAGCGGACGAAGGCTTGGTCAGAGGCTGGGTTTTGGAATTGATAAGCAAGTGCGAGCATTGTGATATGCCCCATGCATGCCAAAAGCAACAGCTCTTTTGGCGCAATAGCCTATCAGGCAGAGACGACCTCAGACCCATAAGCCACGGCCTCTGCTTCGGCCTGGCTTGTCCGGCCCATGGCGATGGACATGCGGTAGACATGTACGTCCTGCGAACTGTTCCCAGAAGCAGACGGGGTTCTGCAAACGCTGCCATGGAAAAAGAAATAGCCTCTTCCCTTCCAAGCCTCTCGTGCTATAAATCTAGGAAAGGGAGTATGGTAAGGACAAGGCCTTCTGATGTCATGACTGAACTGCAAGCAAGTGGCATGAGTGCGAGGCTCCTGCCAACATACAATGCACTGAATGCATCATGACGAAGGAAAGGCTCTGATACATAGACACCCCCCTGCCTGGCAGTCGATTCCATCCTGACCAAACGACCACTCCTCCCGACCACCGATTCAGGAGCGATTCTGTCCACGCAAACAGTCTGTGTAGGCATGTGTCGGCTAATCGTCCTTCCCGTGGACTTCCACTCCGGCATGAAAGGCGCCTGAACGACAGGCACCCATCAGGACGACAGAGCTGCAGCTTG